CAACTTATGAATAACTTCTATACTCTTTGTTGACTTGACGTCATAAAATTTTACAAATTTGGTAAATCCATCTATGACTTCGAAAACATATTTTTTATTGGTTGGGGATTTTTCTAAAGGACCATAATGGTCGATATGAAGTGTAACAAAAGGTTTGTCACCTTTTGGGATATTGTATAAAACTCCTTCAAATCTTTTAGAAGAATATGAAATGCATTTAATACAATTTTGAATGTAGTTTTTGACTTTAACATTTAAATTAGGGAACCAATAGACTCTTAGAATATATTCTGAGGTTTTATCTACACCTACATGGCCTAATAAATCATGACACTGAAAAATAACTTTATCCTCCATAGAACTAGGAACATAGAAAAGAGTTTTGGATTTATTTTTAAGTTTTTTATAAACGAGACCGTTCCTTAATTCAAAATTGTTGTCTTCTGAGTCCAAAAGTTTGTCTTTAATAGCTTTAATATTTGTATCTAAATTTTGTGCAATAGAGAGATTCTGTTCGAAAGTATTCTCTTCCAAAATTAATATACTATTTGCTCTGCTTAGAGCGTCAACATGCTTCATACGATTTCCTTCGCGGTGTTCTAATACATAATTATAATTTTGGAGAATTAATGCCCACCTATTTATACGACGATTAATTTCTTTTTTGTTCAAGGCTAACTTGATTGAGTTACAGTCGGTTAAAATTTTGAAAGTGGGTAAACCTTGTAAATATATTCTAAATCTCTCTAGTGCATTAACGATGGCAAGCATCTCTAATTCATAACTGTGCATTTTTGATTCAGATTCTGTGGTCCTCTTACTAAAATAAAAAATAGGTTGAAATAGATTATTTTTTTGCCTTTGTAGCAAAATTGCACCATAACCAGCAGAACTTGCATCACAGTGCAATTCGGTCTCTAAATTGGGAGAAAATATTGCCAAAACTGGTGCTTCAATTAATTTTGACTTTAAAACATTAAAAGCTTGCAATTGACTTGGACCAAATTCAAAAATTCTATCTTTTCTTAAGAGGTCATAAAGAGGCTTGGCTAGTATTGAAAATGAAGGGATGAAACGTCTAAAATAAGAAGCAAGACCCATAAACTGTTGTACTTTTCTCGTACTAGTAGGAATCGGATAATCCAATAGAGCTTGGACATTTTGAGGGTTTGGTCTAAGCCCATTACTGTCGATAATGTAACCTAAGTAAAGAATTTCAGATTGTAAAAATGAGCATTTGCTAATTCTCAATTCGAGTAAATTTTGAGTAAGCAATGCAAAAACTTCAGAAAGAATTTGCAAGTGAGTGTCTAAATCGGTAGTAGCAATCAGAATATCGTCGAGATAAATCAAAATCTTATTTTGTCTTATTAAATCTTTGAAAATCTTGTTAATAAATCTCATAAAAACTGATGGAGAATTAGTTAGACCAAAAGGCATTTTCAAATATTCATACTGTCCTAGGGGACAAATAAAACTAGTAAATTTTATAGAATCTTTGGCAACGGTAACTTGATGAAAAGAATTTTTAAGATCTAAAGTAGTGAAGTAAGTTTTATTTTTCAACAAATCTAATTGGTCATCTATCAAAGGAATTGGATAATTATCTTTAACAATAATATTGTTAATTGCTCTAAAATCTACACATAAACGTTTAGTACCATTCTTCTTATTAACCAAAACTATGGGACTACAGTAAGGGGAATCACTCTCTCTAATAATTTGTTTTTCAAGAAGATCATCAATAATATTTTGAAGTTGTAACTTTTCATCATAGGCTAGTTTTCTAGGACGGTAAGAAATTGTTTGATCATTTTTGACAGAAATTTTCATTTCAAAATCTATTTGTGGTTTTAAGGGTCTTGTGGCACTTAAGTATTCATCAACAAACAAGGTTTCTACTTTGTTAAAGGTTTCTGGAGGCAAATTTGGATTGACATTTAATTCTTCTACTTTCAATTCGTTTTCATCTAACATGCATTATTTCAGTAATAAAATTGGCATCACCGTCTGGAATTTTGTCATTAGAATTATTGCTCTCGATAATTTTTTCAATTTTAACAGTATCGCTCAAGGTTATTTTTAAATCAGGTGTTGCCAAAAAATCTCTGCCCAAGATGGATGCATATGACATTGTGGTCTCAGTTACAACATAAAACTTAACATAAACTGCAAAATCATTTATCATAATATTTGTTTGAAAAATGCCCAAAACATCCACCTTAGTACCATTAATGCCAGTGAAATCATAATTATTATCGCTAAAATTTTTGTCATAAAAAGGTACATATTTTTCTTTGATTAAACTGATAGGACTACCAGAATCAATTAGGGCAGCTAAACTATATTTACATTCACAATTATCGTCTTTTATTAATGAATAATTAAAAGAGACTACATAGGGATTACCTTGTTGTACCATATGCGTAGATCTATGTGCCTTTTCAGGACAGTCTGTAAATCTATGCCCCATCTTTCCACACGTGAAGCAGGAGCCTTTTTCCCTTTTTGGTTTACTGCATGAAGAAGCATAATGCCCCGCTTGATTGCAATTATAACATTTTAAATTTCCTGTCTCATTTTTCACTGCTACTCTGGCTGGAGCATTACTAACATTCACTGCACTCACAGGAATAAATGGTTTGGGTCGCTCACCAGTATGTCGTTGTCTTCGTTCATTATTTAATCTATCGAAGGAGATTAGGTCACGATAAACATCATCCATATGGACATGGTTCTTCGTCATTATCATGGATGCTAGTTCACGAGAAGTTAATCCAATTGCAACTTGCTCCTTTTGTTCTTCGAAACTTAAATTCAGTGATTTACAGAGACGAACTTTATCATGAAAATAAGCACTTATATCTTCTTTTGCCCTTTGTACCCTGGTGGTCATGGTTTTCCATAAGTGTGTTAAATTTTCTTCGTGTACAAATGTATTACGGAACTGCTGTCTAAAATCATCCCAATTATGTATAATGTTTTGTCTGGATTGGTACCAAGCTTTAGCTGCTCCCAATAAATGTGTTCGAGCAGTTTCTAATTTAAATTCTGATGGCCAGTTATGTAAAGCTGCAGTGCTTTCGATGCTGTCCAACCACTCTTGGCTTTTCGATAAGTTCTCAGCATTAAATGTCAAAATAGATTTAGAAAAATCTGGAATAATGTGGTAACTTCGGTCATTATTGTTACTGCTAACATTGACTTGGGGGGACTGGTTATTAGTATTTTGTTGCAACATTTGTAGCATAGTTGCATTTTGTTGCATCAGGCAATTCATTGAATTAATCAGGGCATTTACATCAACTACTTGCGGTTGTGGACGTATTTGAGGTGGGTTTCCCATACGCCTACGAGCAAATTCTTCGAATTCCTCACCATCAACGTCTTCACCATTACTGTCCGCCATTTTTCAGCCAGAATCCAGACTATTCCATAACCTCAAAACACCACACGCGTTACTTTAATCGAATCCCACTTCTGAAAACTGTAGGGTATAGGATGGATAATCACAATAAAACACTATAATGATGATTTCAACTCGGAGTCGTTATTTAATTTCCTTTTAATTATAAATTTCTACTAAAGAATATCTCGGGACTTTACTACATAAAAAACATAACCTAAATTGCCGTAACTAAGGACTCCACTATTCTGACATAACAAAAAATGCCTAACCTATGCCGGTAAAACAGAACACTAATATGGCTCTAAATTACAGGAAACTGTAATTTGGTGACGTAATTTGAAATTAATTACTATAGTACTTAGTTTTAAGTTTTCATTTGACAATCTGCAACTTGGAAATCAGTCAATAGGTCTCATTGAGGATACTAAATTTTTTGGACTGCAACTTGAAATTTTTCCAACTGTATAATAAACCTAAATAAAAAAAATAGCAGCGGGAGGTTATGCCATAGGCCAAACTTGTTATGAATTGGGTCAGTCTATGGCTAAAACCACTTATTTTGCTCTTATAAGTCCTACTTGCGCTACGGAATCCCCTTTTGGGGGAACTGCAGTCAGTATCTGTTCCAGTCAGTATATACCCTTCAGAAGTGGTGTGTTTGATATATTTTTGGGGCAGGTTTCAGGGATCATTGTCGACCATTATTGTAAAGAGGAAACATGTTAACCTTGGTGGATATCTTTATCTTAGAGTCTGTTTGTCTGGTTCACAATATGTACCAGGGTACTACATAAGTGCACTCCTATCCAACGAGGAACTATAACCTGATACCTTTGCCTATACCAAAGTTCTCACGTACACAAAATTATCTCATTTATAGAAGTATAAAAATGTACAATAAGCTACCATTGAATTTAAGAACAGACCAAAGTTATAAATCTTTTAGAAATAAACGCTTATTGGCCGATAAAGCATATTATTCTCTTGATAAATATTTTAATGACAACCTTTAACAGGTTCTTATAACTGGATATATTACCTACTTGTATTGTTATTGGTGTCTGTGTCGCGATTTTAGTGTCTAAAGTTCAACTGTATTTTGTATGAAACTTATTTGACAGGGTTTACCTAATAATAGATTGATAATTTTCAAAAATTTAAATAAAAAAAAAAAAAAATACAAATTCACTAATATTGAGTCATCCTATTTTTATTGTCTTTGCCTGCAACTACTTTTAGTCCAGTAGGATACCATGGGATTCCAGTAGAATTGCCTGGGATTTCAGTAGGATTCCGTAAAATTGTAGTAAGATATCGTAGAATTCCAGTAAGATTTCGTGGAATTCTGGTGCACACAGTTTTCGAGATGGTTTGCCAAAACTTTTTAGCGTCAGTTTTAAAGGAAGCCTCGATGCCAAGGTTGGTTGATGCAGTTTATACAAACCCCTTTCAAGATTTTTAACAGCATCCACTCCTCATTTAAAAGTTATCATGTCAGGGCTGGTTCCAGAAGAAGTAGAAGTTCCATCTCGTTTCACTTAATGTTGAATCCTGCTCGAATCACTCATAATATAAATGATTTTTTTTCCAGGCAACAGAAGATTTCAATTCCAGTTCGACCGCTAGCGCTTCACCGCCACCAACAGACAGAATCACCGACTGGCCTAATATTTATAACAGTAACGGTTTCGGTGCAGGAATGCCAACGTTGTCGGGAGAAGCGTCTCAGTTGCTGCGCAAATTGATAACGTGTAGAAAATTAGGGATGACCATTACGCCTTCGAATCCCAACGGGTTCAATTATTGCCTGTATCCTGGCAAATCGCCTCCGTCCGGTCAGAGTGGAGTTGAGAAGGAAAAGAGTTCGGGGCGTCGGAAGCAGAGTTACCCAACTAAAGCGAATAATGTAGAAGAGGTAAACTAAAGTGCATAGTTATATCGTATCTATTGACTTTGGATTTTTAATGCAGGCTGAATCAAATGATGATGGTGAAAAAGACAAAATGAGAAGCAACTTACCAGAAGAGTATAGCGACAATATGCCAGACTTTACAGGGGGACAGCCGTGGATCAATCTTACCGAAAAACAGTTTAAGGTCAGTGTAAGTAATATAAACTAAAAGCGTCTATTAGCAATTTGTTTTTTGCCTGTTAATGTTTTTTTATGCTGCAGTTTATGGTAAGTAAGAGTTGTTGTCAGTGACCACTGCTGTGGTAACTTTGAGTGTTAAATCACAGAATAACAATCAGAAGGCACATAGAAAGAGACCTCTTGTAGGCCTGATCTGAAGCGGTCGATTAAATGCTGAAAGGTAGATGGCGCATTCCGAAGACCAAAAGGGATGCGTGTATAGGCACAGAATAACAGAAAGAGAGATCCGATGCTGACGGAGGAAGCCACGCACTTTGAGCATTAGAGGAAATATGTTTAGTGGTAGCGCTTCACCAGTTAGTTTTATCAGTATTCTTGACGTTAAATGTCGGTTTTACCAGTGTGCACCACTGATATTTCCTCCGTTAGACCGGTTCGTGGTCATAGAAAAGGAAATTGGATCTCTCTGTGTTCCTCCTGATTATTTGTTATTCTGTGGTTAAGTGATAGAATACATACATTTTTCTTTGAGAGTCTCTTTTTAAGTGAATAGAATGATCTCAAATATCCGTCCATCAAAAAATAAAACAAGCTATAAAAGACTCGTCGATGTAGCTACAATACTTTTGGATATTGAGGACGCCTTAAAGTTAACTTTTATTTATTTGTTAAAATAGTTTTATAATAAACGCCCTTAGACCAGTCTCATGCAAAGTTTTCCGTAGTTTAATCCAAGATTGTAAAAAAATAAATTCCAACTTCCAGACCAATGCACAAGGAGGTGCATCGAAACGCGTAGACATCTGTTGCACAAATTGCCGGACTCAGACCACCACCATTTGGCGAAGAAACGTCAGAGGTGAGATGGTGTGCAACGCTTGCGGTCTCTATTTCAAACTACACGGTATCGACAGGCCTTTAACTATGCGGAGAGATACCATACATACCAGACGGAGACGGCCTAAAGGACAAGAAAGGGGACGGGGAAAGAATAAAGTTGGTGAGTAGTGTTGATTAAGTTTTTGGTTTTTCTTTATGAGTGATAAAAGACAATTATGTTTCAGATTATGAGCCATATCATAAGGGTAAGTATACAATTTAAAAAAATCTAACTTTGTATACAATTTTAATAATTATTGCATTATAGAACAACCAATGAATCTACGGACCTTTTCCGAGGGTGGATTGCCAGATGGCAGGCACATGCCCCAACTTCCCTCTACAATTTCAGAAAAAGAAGACACCGATAGCATGCTTAGCGCCTTGAGGAGACAGTTGCAACCCCATCTGGCGATGGCCCTGAAACAAGGATCCGCCAGTCAAGGATTGTTTTCACAAATTCCTCATGTAAGAGTAATCACGTGATTTTACCTTTATTTTTAATAATTTAAGTATGGCTGGACGTTATCAAGCAACAAAATCGTATCTTAAAATAGTTTCATTATAATGTAGTTACTTACCACTTTCCTTTCATTTAGGGTATGCCACATTCGACCTACTTGCCCACCAACAAAGATTCACCGGGAGGTTCGGTACCCGAAGTCGAGTCTGATGAAGAAAGTATAGCGGATCTTCCTTTGAATCTTGTTTCCACTCAGATGGCTGAAACGGAGACGCACTAACCCCCTTAAGTATATATTTTTTTATAAAACGGCACTAATTATTATTCTTATTAATGATAACAAAAAAAAAAACATAATGCTCGTATTGACTTCATACGATACAAGGGCAATAATCTTTACCAGTGATAGTATAGATTTTTTTGTATTAAGTATGGCTCTAACATTTTTGATGAGATTTTTTCGTATTAAATTAGACAATATGCTATTAAGATAAATGCTGGCCAAGAAGTATTTAGAACTAAGTATGTTTAAAAAGTTTTTAACAATCTATTGTATAAATAAATGCGTGATTTCGAATTCTGAGTCTGTATATTTATAATGAGGAATTTCTCAGACGAGTTTAAAAATTTGTATATGCTCCGAAACATTCAATTACACACTCATTGAATTGATACTTTATTATTGTTATTGATCTAGATATTTTTTGGCCAGTTTTTTTCTATACAGAGTGTCCCAGCGGGAACCAAATCGATCTATATATAAAAAACTTTACGCAGAAAGTTTTTAAAAAATTTACAGTATACTGATGTCAATGGAAACAACCCGGCTGAAATAATTGTTAGGATGGTGGAACTTCAGGTTATACCGGAAGCAGATGTCAACTTGCCTATTTCAAATGAGACACTCATTATTTAAAAAAAAGGGTTTTATAGCATGTCAAAGTAGTAAAAAGTCAATTTTCGACTGTCAATATTGTCGGACCTAGGGGTTATGAGGGGGTGAGAATCAAAACTAGAGCCAAGTACAAAAATAGGAAAGTGTATTTAAAATAAAGCTTATAACAAATACATTTCAGATATGGGCATGGGCACTAATAATTATCACAGGACCAAAAGGCACTATTATTACTGATTAACTAATGCAGATAATTCTCGGTCTGTAGACTACCCTCTCATCTTCCAAAAATATTATTTTATATTAATACCGCGACCATGGTGCATGATCGCTGATTATAAAAATTACCGTTGAACCGTCGTTGACATTGACCTTCCATGGGTTTAGATTCCTGATATAATTTAATAATTCGTTCAACTTGCAACTGAATGTTGTTTAAACCTGACGTGATCAATGATTTTCCTGAAATCCATGAACCTTTTTTGGAAGACGATTGGGTTGCAGGGAGATGCCCTATTATCCTAGATACGACAATATTTTCAAAACAGTTAAACTTAGAAGTATAGGGTATATCACATGAATTCAAATATGCAATCATATACAGCAAGTTGACGTCTAAGTTTTGAAAATATCTTAGCCCCCATTGACTGTCAAATTTTCAAAAAATTTCTACATACAGTTTTTCATAATACAGATTGATTTGATTCCCGGTGGGACACCCTGTATAAGACCTAAAATACTCCCTTATTAAGCTCTCTAACAAAAATGAATATATGACAAAAGAAGGGACATTGTACTTACCAAAAAAAATACTCATATTTAGCTCCTCACCGATCAACTCTCGAAATGTGATATGTAATTTCTGAAAAGTTAATTTTTCCTGTTTGTTTTTTTTTTATGTACCAATCAACCCAAATAGTTAGTTGAACCATAACCAAACCGTTTGTTTATGCCAGTAGTACCTTGTAATATTTAGTTTTATTGAAAATAATAATATCCTGTTCCTTTTTTTTTCCAATTTTTGCATATAGAACAATGTTTTTTTGACTCTTGTATAATGATATTATTTATTATTTTCTTAAATTATTCTTTTTTTTTTCAAATTATATGCTCTCTTTTTGGTGTTTGTTTAGGGTTTCCTTGTCAAACCTTAGACTTGTTGACTTTCAAGAATTTTGAACTTCTAAATCGTCTTTTGGCAATTTTGTTTACCAATGTGTGTGAGTGTGTTTTAACTTTTTAATTTGTTGTAAATATTAATTTTTGCAATAATTTCTTTTTTGTATACCAGTAATTATGTTAGGTTTTAATAGTTTAGGGTTCTAGCGGCGATTTTATGTTTAACGCTTTAGAAAACATATTTTTTTTGGTGTTTATTTCTTGCAATATTGTTTCTACTTGCTCCATTGTGACAAAAACAGTATTTCGGAACAGTGAATCTCAGTAGGTATTTCTTTTTAAATCAGTGCAACAATGGGGCAAAGTTGAAATAATGTAGTTTACCTAGTAGTATTAACCAGTGAGTGATATTTCTTAATAATTTTTAACCATAAAAATTTACTTAAAACTTTGAATTTACTTAACTTATTTTGAATTAAGGAGAAGGTCAACCCAATATATAATTTTGTCCATAAAAAATCTTTTAGTTACCGTATCATTATCATCAGGCCCGGTTTATCCATCTCCCGATAAACTTGCTACAAATATACCAAACTATGCGGGCCAATAGATTTTAGATCTGTCAGATTACATAACTTGATTTAGTTTATCAGAAGGTGAATAAACCAGACATTAGTGTGATATAGACGCATTGAAAACGGCCCAATTTATCTTAGGTATTCAAAATTCAATGTTTGAAATGAATAGGTACTTACCTAATTATTGTTTGGTTGACGACATCTTTTTAAAAAATTAAACAAAATATCAGTATTTTATACATTTTTTATTATTGTTAATAATTTAGGTTTAGGCTAAAACCGTTTTTTGCCTTAGTAATTTAAGTTTATGTTTAGTTATTTACGTTTGGCAGCTGTGCCCGCAATATTTTTTTTTAAATTCTCGATCGCCAGTTGATTTTTGTATTGTTGTTTATCTGACATTTTTTTTTTGCTATTTTTATAATATTTTTTTCTCGGAACGGTTATGATTGGGATCCATAAGTAGCTTTTGAAATTCTCTATACAAGTTGATCTATGATGTCATTTATTTTTTGTGATGTCATATTAATTTGTTTTAAAAAGAAAATTGTTGTGATATTGTTAAGGAAAAGTTTGTTTTTAAAAAAAAAAAATGTTTTAATAATGGTTTTGTCTCTCGATTTACGGTTTTTGTATTTTTGAAAAGCGAATCTAACTTCAAGTTGTCTTGACTAGTGTTTAGGATATTTTTTTACCAATAAAACATGGCTGCAAACAAAATATCAATTGATTTAATTCCATTAAATTATGTTTTTTAAATTTGAATTCGAAAGTTTAGTTCGAATATAATATATTAGAGGGTCAGGAGCTCAGAATTTACTTTATCCTTGTCAACGTTATTGAAAAGTAAATGAGAATGATAAAGACGAGAGATTTGTTGTTTTGGGGAGCTCCACTCCCTGAGACGAGAATCTGGCCCCAGGATTGAATAGGATTCTAATAGAAAATTCAAATTGGAATATGTTTGACGAGAAATTGGTATATTATGCATAAATTTTAAATATAACAAAAAATTGTTGCTCAATAGCACAATAAAAGTCTACTACTTGATGAAGGACCTCTCTGCTGGATTAGTGGTATTTGTAGTTCCTGTGCTGAGCTGCAAATAATAAAAAAAGAGTATTTCAATAATCTTGATGGTAAAAAGGGATAATTTTGAACTGCTTGCTAACAAGGAAAATGTGTAACCTATAGTGTATGTTATACACATTTGCTATGACATCATTTTTGTTTATTTTAGGCCTTTACGCAAACGCTGCTCCGAATAATTTGATCACCAGTTGATGTAATTTGTCTTTTTTCATTAGTGTTCATCAAAGAAAGATGATAAATAAGCAGCCTGTTATCGGGTAAAGGCCAGGACACATCTATCATGCATCCTTCTGATCCAACTCCAATAATATAATCGGACGAGTGCCTGAGACGGAAATGGTACTACACTACAAACAACACTTTTCCACTCTGATACTGCATCCCATCATGGTCAGATCGCGCAATATATTTGCTTCCTAACTAGTGATTTAAAATTCCCGAAACAATTCAAAAGCCGCGAACATTCTCGGAAACTTTCCGAGAAATATTGGAAACTTTCAGGAACTTTTGGAAATATTGTTTTTTTTTTTATTTATAGCTGAATCAGACAAATCGTAGTAAGCTTTATTTACATATTATTGTAGTGTACTGACTATAGACTTTAAACCAAGAAAAACGACGCTCCCCCATTAGCCCGAAGGGCGTTGTATGCACCATGACCGAAGGGGTCTAAAAGAGTCAATATTCTGAGTTTCAGTTCTCTACGATGTATCGGTAAAAGGTTTGCCTTCACATCCTTCTCGATTTTCAATTTTTTTTTTCCGAATTTCCAACAAAAAAAATACCGTTGGATAGAGAAGCAAAAAATACGTCGATAAGTTAATTTGATTCCCCTCGCTACGATGCATCTAAAGGTCAGAAAAAAATAAAAAAGGAAATCTCGAATTTGGTCAAAAGAAATTTGCGGTGACCTGACACGAGACCTTTTGCTTATAGCTCCGCTATTTTTTCGACCGATCAGTTCGAGTTATGTTCCGTTCGAAAAAGGACGAAATAATCTACATTCTACAAATTGCTTTTTTCATCGAGATTCCAGGCCGTTTCCGTTTTTGAGATATAAGCCGTCAAAGTTGAAATTCTTTGAAATTTCCTCCAAATTTTTGAGGTCGCTTTTCTCGGAAATGGCGCCCCGTGGAGGGATAACTCTTATAGGCTTTTTTGTAGTACTCGACGAGATTTACAAGTTTTGCATTTAAAGTTTTTCTCCCGAGCTTTTCGTTTTCGAGTTAGGACGTTTTGAAAAAAAAAAATCCAAGGCATTTGCTTTGGATTTTTTTGTTGAAAAATTTCAACTTCTGAATTTTGAAAAAAAAATAAAAAATTATCGGATAGAGGAGCAAAAAATATGTCGAAATGCTTATTTGACCCTCCTCGCTATGATGCATCTAAAGGTCAGAAAAAAATAAAAAAGGAAATCTCGAATTTGGCGAAAAGAAAATTGCGGGAACCTGACATGAGGCCACTCTTTGGCTTATAGCTCCCCTATTTCTCGATCAATCGATTTGAGTCATGTTCCGCTCGAAAGAGGACGAAATTATCTACAAGTTTTTTTTTACCGAGATTCCAGGCCGACTCCGTTTTCGAAATATAAGCCGTCAAAGTTGAAATTCTTTGAAATTTTTTTCAAATTTTTGTGTTCGATTTTCTCGGAAATGTTGCCTCGTGGAGGGATAACTCTTATGGGCTTTTTTGTAGTACTCGACGAGATCTACAAGTTTTGCATTTGAAGTTTTTCTCCCGAGCTCTTCGTTTTCGAGTTAAGAAGTTTTGAAAAAATAAAAATAAAATTCTGTAAGATCAGCTAAAAATTAAACTATGTAGTAAAAACACTTTTATGGATGGTTGAATAAGGCATTAAAGGAAAAGCTGATCCGATTAACCCAATCTCTCAGCTCTTTATTTTTTATCTTTCTTCAATGAAGAATATTTTAAAAAAAGGCAAACTGTAGGCTGTAGGTACATCAGCTGCTGATCGGGTAAATCGGATCAGCGTTTGCGTAAAGACAGTTGGACTGGGCTACGTCATTCACATAAATTTAAATGACGTCACTGAGACCTTGTATTCGCAATAATCTCGCATTTTCAATAAATTCTTCTGGAAAGTTCTTGGAAATATTCTCGAAAGTTCTCCGAAATATTCTTTTGAGAGTTTTTGATTGAAAGTTTCCGGGAATATTCTCATTCAGGAGAACGTTTCCAATTTTTATCGGCGACTGTTCTCGGAAATTTCCCAATGTTCGCAAATATTCGCATGTGAATATTCTCGACTCATGTCACTAGTCGCGGCCTTTAATCACATCAGCGTTTCCGTAAAGGCCTATTGTTTGGTACATTTTGAACAGAGGTTGAAAAAAATTGGTGTAACAATAATTTTGTTTTATGACGGTAATCATCCTTCATAACATTAGGCTCGTTCGTTTATTCTATTTTGAGCAAAATTTTCGAGTTCGTAAATACATCGAGAGAGCGTATCGAGAGAGCTCATTTCGCTCCTTACTTCATAACCTCTAACATCATTTATTTGTGACTCTCCAAAAAAAAAAAACTATTTTTCTGGTTTTTTTTGCTGAAGATTAAGAAATGAATTGTGGGGCCCACAAGAAAAAAAAAACAGAAAAAGTGGGGTCTGACTTGAAATTGAAACATGACAGAGAGCGTGTGTGAAAAACTTTTTGTGCGGTAAATTTTTTCTACTTTTTGTGTGGTAAATTTTTTCTCATGCACGCTGTGCGGAAAAGTGGTACTTTCACGCAAATCGGTGCGTGAAAACGCGTTTTCCGTACGCACGAAATAAATCAATTATACTTTCACTAGCTTAGTAGATTTAGAATTTTCTTAAATTGGCGCACACTCCACACCATCAAAAAGCTCGGAGTGAATCGAGCGAGCTCGATACAATCTCTCGATGCAAAAAGTTTTTCTCGACACGCTCAAAAGAGAATAAACGAATGGCATTTACAATTTCGAGCGTATGGTGAGCACAGAGAGCAGCTTTTGTATGGTCTAGATGCCCAATCCAGTTCGTTTTTTATTTTAAGATTTTCAAGCTCGGTTTGCTCGATGATCAGCTGACCTCTGTTCAAGGTAGCTCAAGCTCCACTCGCTCCGTACTTCGAGGGAATAAACGAATGTGCCTATTATAATAACTAAACTATGTATGATACAAGGAAGCCCAAGAGAATTTATTCAAAAATAATTCTTTGGCTTTCTTGTATTATTTGGGTTAAACTTCAACCAATACTCAGAGTTTTTACTACCTTACTGAAAACTCGCCAATATGAACTTACTAATTCTATTGTAGTTAAGCGTGTAAAATATTATCATAGTTCCGACAGTAGCTTGCAAGAATGGAGCAATTCCGGCCCTTTTCGGAAGGACGTACTTGTGTTGCCATCTCCAGTAAGCTGAAAATATCGTGAAAGATAAGTAATCGGATACTCAATTTTTTTAAATCGGACTTACCTCTGCTGACTGCTGCAACCATTGCCTGAGGGCTCTTGTTGCGACGGGCCAACCACGCACCAAGTTCGCTCAATTTAACTTGGGCCAGTGGAGTATCGGCTGTTGAATAAAAAGCATTAATAATTGAGATTTTCAATAAAGGAAAATTTTGTCTGGTGGATTATGTAATGGGATTAGAGGTCGGGCATCCATTAGCTTACCCTTTCCGTAAAAACGAGCAGGGTCGTAGGGCCCGTGCACTTTCGGATTGTACTCCAGAGGATAATCGCCGAAACCCATTTTGATGGACTTTTTCTGCGAAAACCTTTATTTTATTAGTTTTTTTTATATAATAAAGTGGCGAATTGCTGAGGTCGGGGCTCGGGCAGGCTTCAAGCTCTGACATTGACAAATAATGACATTAATGACAAATACGATCGACCCTTTTTTTTAAGGTTTTCATTTGTATCTGCTCCGAGCAAATCTTTCAAAGTCCAAATCACTCCATTTTGGAGCGGAGCTCGCAGATGCAAATGGAAACTAGACTGGCTGCGTTGGATAGGATAAAGTCGGTGTCCGGCAAAAATCTAAATACTGTCCGTCCAGAAAAATGTTTGTGGACGTTCCTGGTGCTTGCACCGAGTACTCCAGTCCAGTCACGTTAAGCCCCAGTCATATTTCAAGGATAACTCACATTACTAAGGATTGCTTATCGGCCTCGTTTTTGGTAATCGCCGCCATATTGGTATGAATGGTATGTCACCACTTTCGACGTCATTTATAAGTCGTCAGCTGTTTGTACTGGCGGTCGTAGTTTGGAATTCAAATTTATACAGAAAATTATTATTTAATTTTGATTAACATAATAGGCAAAGAGGAAGATGAAAACGATATCTAAAAAAAAGTTGTTTCAGAATGTTAATTGAAGGGGGTGTGCGCCAAAAATTAAAGTTTTAGAGGAAAAAAATCTAAGAATAAGTCCAAACCTCGTTATTCTACGATAAACCATCGCTGAGATATACCGCCTTAAATTATGTGTGACGTCACCAGAGCTTCGTCCAGCCACGCTCCGCATTGTTCATTTGTTTGTTCCCGGCACGGATCAGTCGTTTTTGTTCAGATTATTGCAGGTGACACAGGAAAAACATATGTGAATTCGATGCCCTTTTTATTTCGTACGTCGCTCGAGCTCTCGTGACGTCATAAGGTGAGATGCGGTACCTTCATAGAGCCATATCTTCGGTATTATTTGTCATAGAAGGGTGCGGTTTTCACTGTTATTCTTAGATTTTTTTTCTCTTTTTTTTTTAGATGAAGTTGTTTTTTTGGCGCACACCCCCTTTAACGTAGTAAAACCAAGTATACATAAAGCAAAAGCCCGCGGAATCATAACCTGTGGCGCAATCAGCCTACGCCAAAGCGAGAAAGTACATGCGGCCTACGTCACCACTCGTGATTCGGCGTGATGGGGGGCTTCAGATTTATTACACACACACACAGGCCTTATGAGGATAGATTATCCTGTAGTAGTAGTGTGTAAAATCATCCTTGGTCATCTTTCCATCTTTGGTGCTTTAACTGCTCCAGAACGCAGAACGCGCGATTTAAGAAGTGCGGGTCACTCGTAGTTGTGAAATGAATACGGCTCTTTTTGTACCAAAATCAAAAGTAGAAAAAAGCAAATTTTTCTGATCTCGTCACCTCATCGCAATTTTGTAATTTTTATGGCGAGGCTAAATAAATAATATGCAAACTAAAGGTTTGTAACTGTGTAATATATAGAGTTTACATAACTGAATAGCGTACAGTCACACTAGCTTTGTTTTGGTTCGAAAACTGGAACGGTTCTGGGATTGTACAAAACTGTTTGCGCACAAATAATAATAGAGGACTGTTCTAATACTAGTCCTGAACCGATTTTGAACCAAAAGAACCAAAAAACGCCGCAAATCACAAAATTCCAAAACGGTTCCTTCTTCAGAGCAAGAACTGTGAGAACCGTTCTAGAACAATCCCAGAATTATTCTTAAATAGTTCTAAATAAAAAGAAACGCTGTCAACACAGTTCGATTAAAAATCTGAAAAAACGAAAACGCGTTTTATGATACGCGCATGTGCAGAATGATTCCGAGTTAGTTCTGACGCTTGAAATCGAACGTTTCAAACTGTAGCCGGAGTACTTCGGACTTTCGGAGTAACTCGGGAGCGCTCAAAGGGTGGCATCCGAAAGCAGCTCTGAAAGCACCAGTATTTAGTTATTTGACAACGTGATTATCCGTTTAGCAGGCTGAGATCGGCTTTATACTTTGTAATGTAAACTCTGAGCGCGCTCGAAACGATAAGATCGTGTTCATTTTAGCCCTCAGAGTGTTCTCTTTTGCGCTGGTTTCACTCAGAACTAGTTCGGGATCATTCTGCACAAACGCGTTTTCGTTTTTTCAGAATCTTAATCGAACTGTGTTGAGAGCGTTTTTTTAAATCTAGAAATATTTAAGAACAATTCTAGGATTGTTCTAGAACGGTTCTCACAGTTCTTGCTCTGAAGGAGGAACTGTTTTGGAATTTTGTGATTTGCGGCGTATTTTGGTTCAGAATCAGTTCAGAACTAGTATTAGAACAGTCCTCTATTATTTTTTGTGCACAAGCAGTTTTGCACAATCCCAGAACCGTTCCAATTTTCGAACCAAAACAAAACTAGTGTGACTGTACGTGTATTGTATTATCAATAGTAATATAACTAGTGCAATGGAAATTATTGATAATTTTTGAGAAATTTGCTCGAATGCATTTTTAGTTGAAAAAGAGCACGAGTGCACGAGTGCCTTTTTCAGTTAAAAACGCACGAGTGCAAATTTGTCGGAATAATCAGCTGTTTGAAACCGGTAAGGCACCGAATCCACCGGGAATTTTTGTCGGTTTTTCCGGTTGAAGATTTTTTGCCACTTTTTTTTTTGACGTACATCAATTTAATTGCTTCGAATGGGCACTATTGGCAGTCTATCGTTAAATTGCTGCTTGAAGATTGCAGAATAAAAAAATGTTTGTGCGTATGACGTCAAGATACCCATGCCATGCTCATATCGTTCTGCTCCGTGGAGTGCAAAGCCGAACTCAGCCCAACGACAATATTTCTGAAGGCCGTATCGATGCAATAACTATACATCGATACAGTGTTTCATCGGTACCAATATATCGATTCGATAAGCGATACTCTAATTGTCATCGCCCTTTTTGTTTTTCCAGGTATATTCCAGTGGCGTAGTCAGTTTTTCTCTTGGAGTGATAAGTTTTTAAATTATGAACCAAACCTACGTTTTTACAAACGAGACACCCTGTATATTATAAACTCATTGGATAGCTTTTGCTGATTTCAATGGCTGAGTTCGGCTTTGCACTCCACGGGGCGGAACGGTATAAGCATGGATATCGTGATGTTATACGTGGTCATAAGCCCAACGCAAAAGAAAAGAGAACACAATGAGATCTAAAACGAACAGGATCCTATTGTTTCGAGCGTGCTCAGAGTTTACATCAGAGTGTGAAGCCGAACTCAGCCAGCGAGATCAGAGCTATCCATTAGATACATTCAGGCGGTGCCAGCGGCTTAGTTCAGCCACTCAGCAGGAACTTTATTCTCGAAACAGGGGAGCAGCGTTCTCATTGGAACAAAATTTCTCTCTTTGTCGTCCGGCATAACACTGACAATGACATAGCAATCGTTCTTACGAGAACGCTGTTCCTTGATTTCGAGAATTAAGTTCCTGCTGAGTGGCTGAGCTTAGCCGCTGGGACCGCCTGAATGTACCCGAGTTATTTAATATACAGGGGGTCTCATTCGAAAAAACGTTTGGTTCATAATTTAAAGGTGGTGTGACCCTAAAAAACGACTTAAGCTACTTAAATCAAGAAAAAAATTCTAAGATCTCTCGTGAAAACCGCAGTCCTATATTCAAGATAGTTTTCGAGAAAATCCCGTATGAAGATAAATCATGCACGAACTTGTGATGTCACAACCGCCGAAATCGCAGTCTTTTGTTTGTTCAGTTGTGATTAAACCGTACCCTATACTTTGAGTTGTTGCAATTCGCTCTATGAGATAATTGTCTTTTGTTTTGGAAAATTTTTACAAGTGTTAATACTGTCCCTAATAATCCAGTGTGACGTCACAAATGCCTAGTTGTAACTTTAAATCGCCCTAACTCGAAAACGGACCATTATCGTAGCAAGATGCGGTTTAAATATTTATTGTTAGATTTTTTTGCACTAAAACTTTCATGTTTGGGTCACACCCCCTTTAAAAACCATCACTTCTAGAGAAAAACTTACTTCGCCACTGGAAACTACGTAGAAAGATCTTTATATAAGAACCTGTTCGATCACTTATTAGAGAACTGAGATGTGATGAAATCTCGAAATGCAACAATTCAAAAACATCTCGGTATCTGAAAAACGAAAAGAGCGATGACAATTTTGTTGACGAATTAAAACCGAATCCTTCTAACTCCAATAGCAACTGAGAACTGAGATATTCCTTATGTACAACCAAAATGGGACACCCTGTAAATTTTATTGTCTACTCTTAAAATCTTTGATAACTGCGTCGTCTGTAGACTCTAGACTTCTCTCTTCTACTCGATTGTAATTTGCCTAAAAGTTTGAGTTCCCCCATTCGATCATAAATGCATCTGCGTGACTTCGATATGTAGACCTAAATACTTATCCCGCTATTTCTAAGAAATATAATTATTTGTTCAACCGAAGATGTCGCAATTTCCTTGGTTATTATGCCGGAAACTCGTGCACTCAAACTCATGTAAAACCTTGGTGATACAGGTATAGTTAAAAGTTAAAGATGTAGTGAAGTCTTCAATGGACAATTTCTCAATGAAAATTTTGAATTTTATACTGTTAAGCTGGACTTAAACAGCAAATAAAATAGAATAAGATAAAATAACAAATAAGAAATAACAGTTAACCTAATGAGATACCCTTAAAGTGTTTATACAGAAAATAACAAATAAAATAAGAAATGCATTAGCTATGTATTTGATATTTTATCTTATGTTATCTTATTTTATTTGCTGTATAAATCCACCTTAAAAATAAATTCAATCACCTATACACTGACAACCAGTTGGTCCCAAGATCAGGATAAGTTTTACCTCCGCCCTTCTGAGTCCTAAAACAGAGTTTATTTTTGTCCTGTGAAAAGATTAAATTGAATACTCAAACAAAACTTTCATAAAATCCATAGTTTCTAATAAGTACAAAATGCTTTTCAATAAACGAAATACCTAAATATAAACATAACATATAAAATTCTTTTCAATATACAAAATACCCTAATGTAAAAAATAACAAAATTATTAACACCACAAAACTAAAAACAAAACAGCTTCTTTTTATGAAGATTGTCGCAATTACCTATTAATTTGTTTAAAATCTATTTATTTAATTAATTATCAATCTAAAATCAAGTTTCGTGTTACACTTGTATCCTCCGACAAATGGTTATCTACAGTTCTTGGTTCGGCAAAACCTTCTCTGACCAAAGTGTGTCCAATTTCTCTGCCTTTCAGGGTCATTAATTTCACTTTAACCGGAAGTCCTTGAGTTCTAAAGCAAGAGTTGTAGAAAGATATTTCATTGAAATATGAGAGGAAAACTTACAGAATTCGTGCTATAAAAGACTTTTGAAATATGTGTATTTCGAAAAATTTGTTCGCCTTCTTATTATCACATGTATTTTTGTGCTGGTAATTGTCTAAGTAGATTTGGAAGGACTAAAATAATTACCATATAAAAACTTTTGTAAAATAAGGAAGAATTAGGTACCTGACGAGGAAGATGCAAAAATTGTTCCTTCATCATTCTGATATTTTTAATGCTTATTCTAAAGTCGCCACCGAAATCTATTGGAGATACCTGCAAAGTCCTTGTAAAAATATTGCGATTTAAAAAGCGAAATTTTGTTATACCTCAATGAAAACAGGGTCAAGTTCCTCAAAACCCCTAACAACAGTCCTCATCCATTTCTTCGCAATAGGATTATAAGCTAAAATCAACTCGCCAATAGCCGGTAACGTTTTGAATGCAACATAAGTGCCTATTATTTTCGGATCGTTCATGTTCCTCACTAGATCTGCCAGATCTTTATCCACTATAATGTTTGCTGAAATAATAGTTTTTGTTATCACAAGCAGAAATTATGTATTGAACTTACTGTTTTCAAAGTTGACAGGATTTCTGATCATTTGAACGGTGTAGGTGCAAGAGTCGATGTATCCGGTTACAAACACTTGAATTTCTTCAGATATTTGAGGTAAAATGATATCTCTTAGGGTGTTGCAATATGTGGGGCATTTGTCTGTTGTGTAACCATCTGAAATTTTTCAAAGAAATAATGAATTGAAAATAATCATTAGAAGTTTTGTATATGAAGATTGGTGGTAGGACAGCTCACAGGACACTGCCTGGTCTGGTGAAATACCACTTAAGGTTAATAGGCAGAGCAGACTCTGCTCAGATGCAATAAGAGACCGCAGAGCAGATGTCCAGCCCAATTCTGCAAGAGGCTCAAATTCCTTAAGGGGGCAACACTGTCACCAGAAGAAGTGGACCAACTGACACTCAGGAAAATAGCTTCCTTCGGCTTCCTGGAGACAACTTAAGATGTAGAGTCACGTACAAAATATCTGCAAAGGTAGCAGTGCTGAGCAGCTGAAAAGCCAAAACGAATCCCCCACAGTCTACAAATCTATCCTTATATATAAAATTAATATTAAATGAAGGAGCCACAAAAACGCGTGCACATCAGCTAGCACCTGACGAACCTCCCACAAATTAAGGTGAGTTTTCATTAGTTTTTCCCCATGTTTTTTCCTTTAATATTTAGGCATTTTAATAGCCTGACACTATCTAATACTGATAGTAAATTTCCTATAACATACTAATTTTCTTACTTCTCCGCAGTTACTTTCCATTACTCCTACTAGAACAATTAGCACAATGTAATTGAGGACATTTCACAATTAGTTTTTAGGGTTGACTGCATTATTTTCAAAGAGAAAAACCCCATACATAAATATTAGTTTTTAAAAAGCTTTTTTTTCAAAGTGCCTTATACAATTTCAAATAGGAATTTGGAATCAATAAAACCATAAATGAAAGCAAACATAATATCATATATTACCGAAAATATTTTTAAAAAAACTTTTTAAAAAATAATACTCTATTCTAAACAAATCTACTTACTACCTAAGTAAAGCGGGGTTTATAGTTGTCCTGCCAAACTGGCATCAACTTGATTTTTGGATTGTGAACTTATAATATAAAAATAATGCATGCAAACCTAACAATTATAATAATACTGTTAAAAATCTCTCAAGTTGGGGAAATTGTGTATAATTTGGCAGACTGTGCACAAATTTGAGATATTTCTAACACCTGTGAAATATACTAAAAAAAAAAAAAAAAATGTTTGACATAAATCCCATTTAGCCAGGATAACAGTAATGCCAGTCTCGATGTTGCTGTTGCTTCACAGGTTTTTTTTTATAAAACTCCTTTTTCTTATTATTTCTATTGCTACCTTTTAACTGGACATGGTCGAGTTTGCAATTCCTTCCTTTGAAACAGGTACCATCCGCCCTCGTGAATTTGCACACTCTCGCTTCGTCTCTCGCATCGTACCCCAAAATGTATTCGTTGGCGTTGTCTGCCACATCTAATTCGTCCAAGTCTTGGATCATTTCGGCCAGATATGGATCGTCTCCGGCTAAGAGAAATAGGAAATGGAAATATCAAGTTGCCTTTGGTACAAAAGGGAATAAATAGAGACATCTCAGAAGTCCTAATGTCAGAACTTTGGCTTAATTGATGGAACATGAAACCAAACTAAATTGCAAAACAACTTACAGTCTATAATCTCTTTGGCTAACCCCATATCTATAAGGTCCGACACTATAGAATCTCCACCATCACGAGGCACTGCTATCAAATCAACTCCCAAAGAATCCCTATAAATAACAGTTACAAATAAAGCTCAAAATAGTCAACAACTTACTGGATTTCACACGCAAAAGTGATTTCGAAAAGTCTTACGTCCTCTATAGCAACATTTTCCAGAGGGTCTTTGTTTAAGTTTGCCATGTCATAGAAAACGTCTATTGTGGATTTTGGCCAATCACTGAGTAGGTTACTGGGAGTGGAACCAATCGGGTATACCTGTTTTGTGAATTTAATTTTTAATGTCTGAAAACTACTGGAACACATTTATTGAACTTTTTATTCTTTGAATTGTACAAACCAAACTGATTCTTACATCTAAATATATAAATTTCTTACACATGGAAAATGGCATTTAATGGCCAACTTCGGAATCTTAGCCAAATCCAATGTTAATTCGCAGAGAAATTTATAAGAAATATTCATGATAAATCCATAATCTATAGATTGTACTATAACTTCATCATTAACTGTGTCCTGAAATTTTATTCATTGTTTCAACACACCTAGTTATTGTGGTTTTACTCACCAACTTCCAATCAATTATTTGAAGCCTGAACCATTGACTCAAATTATTTTTACCAGCAAAATATCCAGAACAATATTTTCCTAATGTCGATTGAGCCTCCTGCTTAGATACAAAGGCTTTATTTCTTTGGCCTACTTTATTTAAACTTTCATCTATCCTGAAAACAATCATAGAAAATAAAATTCAAATAGAGTAATAATGAAACATACAAGTCCAAGTTCCTAGAGCTTGTGGGATGTATAATTTGCAAATAGAATTCTTGAGGCGACACTATATGGCTGAATACACAGGTAGATCCTTCTGCTGGTACATCCATTGCAGGGATTTCTAGATAAATAGGAAAAAAATACTATCCAGGCAACTTTGCAACAGTATCATTTATATGTAAATTAGATAGTTTTATATTATACCTACCAAAATCCTTATTCATCTTCCTAAGTTGTGACTTTTTTTTCCGGCTCTTTCCCGAAGAGCTGCCATCACTTTCAACAGACGGAGGTACATAAGGCACAAATTTTATCTCTGGCATAGTTACCTTGGCTTCCTCCCTGTCATGCCTAAAAGCTAAATTAGATTATCTATTCATTGTTTTAGACTTTTTCACCTTTTAACTTGATACATTTTTTCAACAATATTACTACGTATATCATTAGATTCAGTCTTATTTAACCAAGAAGACACCTTGTCGCAACCCTGTGTATACGAATTTGTTGTAGATGGTTGTCTTTTTATTGCGCCTGTATTGCTGGAAGGTTGATTTAAAACAATAGTTTCTTTTTTTGGCAAGTCATTTTTGGGCAATTCATCCTCTAGCTCTATTATTTTACTACTAGAGCCTATGGGAGATTCTAAATTTATCAGATTTGAATCGCCATTCACTTTCAAAGGATCTTCACCCTGCAAGACAATAAAGTCTCACTAAAATAGTTCATATTATTATGTAACTTTACTTGAGTATAAGACAAGGTACTTAAATTGGTCCCATTTGAACACAAAGTTGGTGGACTTGAAGTTCTACCATTTTCAATGGCTGGTAAATTTAATGCCGGATCCGAAGTTGCAGAAATATTCTTCAAAATTCTACGGGCTATAATATTAGTTTCATTATTGGGAATATTTGAGTAGCCCTTATTGACCGGTCCTTGTTTATAGCACTCTCTAATTGAGCCACATGAATGATTGTTATCTGGTTCAACAGGAAATGGTGGGTTTTCTGTTTCTAAAAATTCGAATACCAAACAATTGGTTGCGTTTAACAAGCTAACGATTTTTGTTAAATACGCTGACAAAGCTTCCGGTTTAGATAAGGAGGCTTGATATTTGCGATTTAAAATTTCCATTTGGGTTTCAGCCTGAAATAATATATAAAATAAATTCAGAAAGCGAGAATTAAGTATTGTTGATTACATACCATGCCTGCAATTGTTTCCACATTTCTAAATAGAGTATCCTTTTCCTCAAGGATGTTGTCATAGTGCTGTATGACTTTTTTTGAATGAGGCGTTGTGGGCCTTTTGATCATCTGTAATATTGAAAGAAAATTTCGTATATTGTCGTTTTCCAATACATCATTTTGAAATTTTAGTAGATATGAGATTAAGAGCTTGCATTTCTCTTAGGTTTTGAAATTTTCCCCTCACTAATTTCCCTGATAAAAATTGAATCATAAAAGGATGCATTTTCTTTAATTTAGTTAATAAATAACAAGTAATATTTTATTCCTCAAAAAACAACATCTGAACATGAAATCAATGTTCCCATTCTCTCATTACAAAAATCATTTTTTTCATTTTATACATTAACAATATCACATTTATCGGACAAAAATCTCGTGGCTTTGGGAGGTCCGACTGCCCCAACATCACGCCACAGCATCAGACATCAGTGCGCTCGCAATTTCGCTTTTCTGATTCCACACGATGCAGCCAAAGTTCTTGGACCTCCATGTATCTCCACTTATCTCGATGGAATCTCCACTTGTCTCAATGAAATCTCCACTTATCTCTACCGGATATCCATGTATCTCCACGGATATACATCCTCTAGGACAGAAGATTTCCACAGTGACTACTCCCTCGCGGTTCTCCAATGAATGAGTCAATTTGAATTTCAAGTATGATGATCTCTCTCCCCAGTATTGGTGGACTGCGAATCTGAGCAGACAGCAGAATGGCTGGTTCAGATGTCACCCAGACTGAAAGCATGGAAGGTGCCTGAACTCGTTGCACGGAGAGGAGACAACATCCCCAAGTCGCATACGATCAGTATCTTCCTCCTAAGGAGCAAAGGGCAAGGCACCAAAGCTCTTCTGAGACTCATTGAAGTCCAGAACGCGGAACTCTCCACAAATACGTGGCGAGTTATGAACGTGAAAGAACAAGGCCACAGCCAAGTCCTTACAATTGGGATCGATACCAAAAGTAAGGAAGCTATCAAGGCCAAGGGACACTCCATCCACTACAGGTTTGCGCAAGTCCCGGTATCTGGCCTTAAGAAGTGAGAAGAAGCGGAGGAAGAGAAAATGGACTTTGAGCCAACAGCCTCGACCGCCTCTTCTCTGTTGGAGAACACCCTCACCGATGAGACTGCATCAAAGGGAAAAGAGGGGCAAGAGACCGATGGCTTAAGCCTCAAATCTCTTAAAGTCAACTCTTCTTCTGAGGATGAGGTCATCAGCAAGGAAGATGAAGAGAAACTTCTGGCGGATCAGAGTAAGGAAAAGCAGAGGGAAGGACAGGATAGTCCAAACAGACCACCTGCTGATCCCTCCTTCAATTACTAGAACATTCACCAGATTAGCGCAAATCAATCTGCAACACAAACGGGCATCCTCCGATGTGATTGTACGAATGTTCGCTAACCAATATCTGGGACTAGTTATGATTCAAGAACCCTGGATCAATAGAGGGCAAATCAGAGGTTTGCAAGCAAACTTTCAAAGGTAGTATACGATAACAGGCAGGAATCACCCAGAGCCTGTATTCTCATAAGAAATGATATTAATTATATGTGTGTTACAGAATTTATGTCACGGGACTTGACACCCATTGTCGTACAACTCGACATTGGGGGCTGCAACCGCAACATAGTAATTGCTTCAGCATACTTTCCTGGAGATGAGCTAACGACACCACCGCCGGAGGTACAAAAGCTGATCTAATATTGCAGAAGAGAGCGCCTGCCACTACTCTTAGACTGCAACGCAAATGCACATTGGTACTATGCCTACATTCATGACTAGAACAAGGTCGAAAGTATTAGATATAACTTTAGTCAGCTCCAGTATTAGAGACCTCATCAAAAACTGGAGAGTATCAACCGAACCATCCCTGTCAGATCACACGATAATTGAGTTGAACCTAGAGAATGTAAAATACAATAGACCCATACGAAGGGTTCCGAGAAAAACCAATTGGGAAGCCTACAAAACCAATTTACAGAACAACCTTCACTGCTTAAGTTCAGGTGGGAAAAGACACCACATGGACCTGGAGCAGGACACTAAGGAAGTCACAAAGGCAATTATGGAAGCCTTTGAATCCAGTTGCCCGGTGACTACAGCGAGATCTAAAAAAAATACATCATGGCGGAACAGACACTTGTCAAAACTGAGATTTCAAGTCCGTCATCCTCTCAATACAGCAAAAAGTGATGGAAATTGGCAGGGATACGTAGAAGTGCTTACTCTGTATAACAAAGAGATAAGAAAAGCCAAAAGGCAACACTTCAGAACCTTTTGTGAGGAAATTGCTGACACTCCAACGGCTGCAAGGCTACATAAGGCCATGGCCAAAGAGGGTTCTTACTGCGGAACGGATGAAATAGATAGATAGAGATAGATAATGTGCTTTATTGTCATAAAAAACTATACAATTTGTTTTGTGGACAAAGCGAATAACCTAAAACTAGTCACATACAAAATAAGGCTTGCTTATACTAAAATACATATCCTACATAAAAAACCTGGTTAAGATAGTCTAAAACTTAAAACAATTTAAAATTTACATAAAATTAACACTTTAAAAAACCGAAAATATCACAGATCAGTTGAAAAACGGGCAGTTCTTGTATGCATGTTTTATACTTTTTTTTATTTTTTTTTTTTTTTTTTTTTATTAAGTGTAGAGTTGAATGTCATGCAACCAACCAAGCTAATTGTGTCAAAATCTGTCTTGATAAAACTCTTCCAGACTATAATAGCCCCTATCAACAAGTAAAACTGTAACCATTCTTTTAAACATTTTTAGATTCGGGGACATCTTAATTTTTTGAGGCAGATGGTTAAACATTTTTATGCCATTGTAGCAGATTGACTTGTGAACCAGAGTAGATTTCGGAATCGGAAGTTGCAAATCTCTCTGCTGAACAGATCTTGTGTTGTATCCACCCGACAGACGAAGAAAGTCATTCTGATGCACATATATAAGAGAAACAGATTCTAGAATATACAAAGATATGACCGTTAGAATCTTTTTAGACACAAACAAAGGCCTGCATGACTCCCTAAATTTGGCATGACACAAATACCGTATTGCCCGCTTTTGCAAAGCAAAAATTATTTGAAGTAGTTGGTTGTTGGTAGAACCCCAGAAGGCAATACCATAACGTAGGTGCGACTCTATCAAAGCATGATAAACCGTCTTTCCAAAAGCGAATCCGAGTTCGTTAACTGTTGTTTTCACTGCATAACAACCAGACGCAATTTTTTTACTCAACATACCGATATGATCCTCAAATTTCAAGCCAGAGTCGATTGTCAAGCCCAAGAATTTGCTGTGATTACGCTCTGTCAGAGAATCACCCCCCACCCTTAGGTCATCTATACTGCATCTAAAACAAACTATATTAGTTTTATCGACGTTTAAAGTTAACAGATTCGAATCAAACCACTCTTTAAGAAGATCCAAATCCCCTGAAATCATGGTTCTTAAAGTGTCAACATCACTACAAGACCACAGAATCGTAGTGTCATCAGCGAAAATGGTAAACTTTCCTTGTATATTGAGCCTGGCAAGATCATTAAAAAATATCAGAAAAAGGAGAGGACCCAAGACCGACCCCTGTGGTACACCCCATTCAATGTTTCCAGGTTCTGATGGCTGATCATTAACAATTACTCGCTGTGTCCTTCCTTGTAAGTAAGACTCGAACCATGATAAAACCACCCCCCTAAACCCATAATGGTACAGTTTCTTCATAAGAATAGAATGATTTACACAATCGAAGGCCTTAGCCAGATCGCAAAAAACCGCGGCCGATACATTTGACTTATTTAAAGAAGAAAAGAGTTGTGAAAGCAAATTGAACATAGCATTATTAGTACCTGTATTGGTGCGAAAGCCAAATTGTGCATTGCTCAATAATTTATTGCACTCAAGATATGACATGATTCGAGTTTTTGTTAGTTTTTCAATTAATTTAGACAAGGTAGACAACATTGAAATGGGCCTAAAACTAGCAGGGTCAGATTCAATTCCACCCTTATGAAGCGGGATCACTAAAGCCGATTTTAAGCTCGAAGGAAATACCCCGCTCGTCCAAGAGTGATTTAAAGCTTTGACTAAAATATCGGCTATAATAACTTCAGGCATATTAAGCAATACTCTGACAGACAATCCATCCTCTCCCGATGCATTTTTGTTCTTGATGCCTTTTAATGTTTGCTTAACTTCAGCTAAATCGGTTGGTGTAAATGCAAATGAATTGGGTACTGAAATATGAGACATATACAACATTGGATCTTTACGAATTCCTATGTTTTTTGTTAAATTTTTCCCAATATTACAATAGTACTGATTCAGGTTGTCAGAAGAAACTTCCGGATGTGATAGTGACCTCTGAAAATTATTAGAACGAATATTATTTATAATATGCCAACATTCTTTTTGTTTGTTAGAAGAATTACTTAGACGATCGGAGTAGTACCGTTTTTTTGCAGCTGCAATCAGTCTACGAAACAAAGACCTGTAGGAACCAAAGTAAGAATAAAAAAATGGACTATCTGTATATTTTCTAATCCTATGAAGACAGCGAAGATTCCTAGAGGAAGTTTTCAAGCCCTTGGTAAACCATGGTTTTTCCCTTTTTGTTTTTATATTTTTTACAGGAAAACAATTGTTAAAAATCCTTGTCGTTTTCTGGTGAAATGAACTTAAAGGCTCATCAGATGTCAGCACTTGATTCCAGGTTTCCCAGCTACATGATTGGTAAAACCTATTAAAGCTGCTTCTGTCGAATATTCTACCGCGCCTAGATTTTTGTTTATTTATCACTCTGGGCTCCGATATGTCACAAACCACTGCCTCATGATCTGACAATGCTGAATTAACTACCCTACATTCTACCTCTTCCTGACTATAGCTGGAACAAATATAGTCAATTAAGGTTGATGTTGTTTTTGTTATACGTGTGGGTGTTGTGACATGCATATTCAGGGCATTAGAGATAAAAATATTTTTTAATGCAACGGTGGATATTGCATTGCCGTCTCTGTAATCTATGTTAAAATCCCCAGCAAGCAGA